TTTTTTTGGCAGAATATGCATATTTTTAGAATTTGCAGCAATTTCAGATACATATAGGTGGAACATGATATTTTGTTTCTTAGATTCATTATTAGAATGTATTATATTGGTAATAAATTGTTTGTGCTGAAAATTAGTCTACAATTATAAATCAGACATTCGAAATAAAGTAGAAATAAAATTACAACACATAATCGCTACAAGTAGATAGTTTCATCTATTTGAGGATTGCTGAAAATTAATAAACAATTGATAAAGTAACATTAGAAACAGAAAAAGAAATAAGGGTACTGTGCAAATTGTTTCACGTGGATAGTTTTATCTATTTGAAAATTTTGGAGCAGAGAAGAGGAAGCATAAAAATAAAATCAATTATACATATGTTACCTTTGCATCTTGTAAAATCAACTCTATAGAATATGGTATTTCAGGCTTAAATGATCTGGGATTTTCCACATACTACTCTAACTTTCAAATTTCATTCATCGAGTTGCTTGAAATTTGTCTAATATCATGAAGTTTTGTCGCTATATTTGCAAAGTTCTGTATTCTGAGCAAAGAAAAAAAGGAATAGAAAAGAAATTGAAAGGATGAGCCGCATAAAAAAGATTATTTGTAGTTATGGAGAAAGTGGAGAAGTTATGGAGGATGCCCACGTTTGAGGGTTAGTTTTATTTTTAATTGAATTTTCAGGTTTAACAAATTAAAAATAAAAAAAAACAGCCCAACAAACATGGGACTCAATAAAACGTGTAGATATAAACTGAATTGGAAGTTTCAAAATTTTTGTTAAAAAAAAACAGCCCAACAAGTGAGGGACTCAGATGTTGAAACTGAATTAGCATATTTGAAATTTTGTATTTTAAATTATTGTTTAACCTCCAAATTAGTTGGAGACTTGTCCTAAAATTGGACACATGTTTAATTATTGTTTTAACACTTGTCATAATAATATGAATTTGCTTCTCTTATTCTATATAGATAGATTCGACGTGTAATTCGTATAGTGTATTATGTATATGGATAAGTTGACGGTTAGTAAGAAAATAATGTAGTTAAGACTTTTGAAGTATGCACAAAGGATTTATATATGACACAAACTAATTTGGGATTCAGGGGCAGTTGGATTTGATATTCATTGATTTTATTAATCTCTTTCTGTTGTGTTTAATTCTTTTTCTCTATTTCATCTCATAGCGATTGAGCTAGTGTACTTAGGGCGTTTGATGTGCTTAAATGTGTTTGAGAACTGGTCTCATTTTGATCAATCAGATTCAAGGAAGCCAAAATATGAGATCAACAATCAATATTAGCTTATTCTTGAAATTGTAGCTTGATTGTTTCAGGGCTTTGCTATTATTTGATGCAAAAAAGGAAAGTTTTTAGGGGTTTTAGGAGCGGGATTGATATTGAGGATTCATATAGACGAATCAATTACTTTCAATTAAGCTGTAGTAGTAGTTGTTGTTGTTGGATGAACAAGAAACTTTTTTTTTGATGACCCTGCAATAGTAACCTATAGCTAATTATTTCTCCATTGGCTTGTTTCTTGGCTTCAGCCTCTAATGGCAATTGGAAAACTCACTTGTTGCATTTGGCTGAATATTTATTTAATTTGATAGTAAGGCTTTTGACTAAGGATGATTCATTGTCATAGGTTCAATCGGTCTTTCAACTTTTGGGTGGATATGAGTATTCTCAGGGCATGCAAACTGTAGGTTTGGCAAGTCCAAACCAGGAGGTATCCTTTTATATGCAAGTTTCTTCTTTTGGTTTGCTTCTGCACCCTTGTAATATTTGGCTTCCTTTTGCCTTAGGACTCTGTGGACTATCCATTGCTCTGTGCAGATCCAAAAAGACTTGAATCCCTCATTAGATTTCGTGAAAAGAGGAAAAGGCGATGCTATGGAAAGAAAATCAGATACGATGTCCGCCAAGAAGTTGCTTTTAGGTAAATTGACTGATTTACTGCCTAGATGGAATTTCTATCTCCTTTATTTTGTTTCAAGAAGAGCAGAAATTTTAATAGTTCAGTGAACTTATACACATGCTTTCTCTATGAAATTAAGCCCTATCAGGGCCAGTCCGATGTTGTCAACAAAACCAAAAGTTCTACCACTGACGGTAAGTGAGGTCAATCTCCTAATTCCTAGGCATGCAGTGATGAACAACACATTACTCGCTGACAGAAATTGCAAGACTGCAAAATAAAAAATAGATTGCAATCACATTTACAAATCAAAGCTTTTGCATACAAAGTTTACATGACTTTAACTGGATAAGTTTGTTCGGTACCTCCATGACTTGATGAAACCATTTTTACTAAATTAGTCTCCACGAAACCATTATTACTATATAAGCCTCCCATTACCTTGTGTTTATATGTGAGTGTTCTTCTGGCTATCTTCCTTATTTCTCATACTTTATTATTGGGAAACCATGATTCTGTCTTTCGTTTTTAATTTGGACGAAAAAATAATTAGTGATGTATTTCACATTCAGTTTCCTGTAGCAAACAACTACTGTTAGATTATTGCCAAATTCTGATGCTTGGAAACTTCTTCCTTCTAGAACTTTTCTCTTTTGATTTAGGGAAATAAAATGGTCAAAGATAGTTTTGCTTGATCCAATTAAGTGGGGACGTCCAGTCTCGAGCCAAAATTATTTGAACTGGCTGTGTAATATGCTAGGAGAAATACACTGAGTTACTTCTGTAAGTAAACCGAGTGTGTTGATTGACGAAGATGTACTATTTTTAATCATAGTCATATGGCATTCTGCAACAACACTGGAATCATCAAAGAAAATTGTTTTAGAAAGTTGATTCTGAAAAGTAACACTCCCGATGATTATGACATTTCCGTTCATTACATGTTTTTTAGCATATAAGATGATCTGCAAGAATTTCATTGCTCTAAGAAGTGAAATGCTCCCTTCCCTGACCCCACTTGTGGGATTTCACTAGGTTTTTTGTTGTTGTTGTTGTAAGAAGTGAAATGCTGCAATACGAGGCAAAACATTTCCTAAGTGACAATATCTCTTGTACACAGACACACATATCTATCACCTTGGCACCTTCCACAGTTTTTCGTCCTTGGTAATTGGTATAGCAGGTTGTGGAATGTCAACAAAATATGGTAGGTTTAACAGCTGTTCTACTATTTCAGTTTGATTTTCTTCTGCTTCTTATTCACGTTTATCCATAATCAGGATGCAGCGCAAGAATGGACAATTTGCTCGAAAAGGCTCAGGTGAACCAAAACAGGATGACAACCCACCAGAAGAAACTTGGTATGCTTTGGAGTATGAGCAAGAGTCCTGCTTTTTTCTTGAAGAATATTCTCCTCAAAAAAATTAGTTGATGTGTATGTTTGGTTAGTGTTTAACTACTTTTGCATGCAAGAAATAGTTGGTTGATGTTGGGTGTGTTATTTTGCAAGCTATAAGTCTCTGCTCACCGATGTTCTGGCTTCTACTTGGTCTTTTAACCATCACCTTTCTAGCACTATTCTTCTCTTCTTAATTTTGATGATTAATTGTTTACCCAAAACAATAGTGTCTTTGAAAATGTTAATTCTCTCTTTCTTTCTTTATCATTTCTTAGGTGCATCCATTGTGGAACTAGTTCAAAGGACACCCCTATGATGAGGCGTGGTCCTGCTGGCCCAAGGACTCTTTGCAATGCATGTGGCCTCACTTGGGCAAATAAGGTTGGCATGTCAAGCACCAATTGTTTACGCAAGGGCTTCCCTCTTCATTTACATTATCTTCTCTCTTTGCTACCAGACATCCTGTTAAATTACTAGGATTTGGTCTATATAGAAAAAATGGAGTCCATACCTGGTAGGAGTAGGAAACAGATAGTGACTTGTCTTCCAAATACCAAGTCTGAAAGTATATTAAACCAAATCTAATCCTTGTTCTATTTTATTAAAAAGGTAACAATGATATTCTTCAGCACCCAAAAAACAGGGCTGGTATCTAATATTTGCAAGTACAGCCCCTGAAAATCTTACAGAGAATAAAAAAGGTCTAGTAGTGATTCTGCATCACCTATCAACTGTTCTTTACAGTAAAAATGAAAAAGAGAAATACAAGAACTCTTGATTTTCTGTGTTGAACTGCTCTTGCCTTCAAAACATCTTGCATTCCTCTCCTGCCAAACTGTCCACCATATGCAAGCTGGAACAATCTTCCACCATTCCTTGTGACAGGTTCTTCCCCTAATACTGTTCCAACTGCATATCAGGCCAATGGTGTCTTTGGGCATCACCCAAACAGTACCAGCTAGTGCTATAAAGAGCTGCCAAAGTTGTCTAGTAATAACACAATGTAAGAAAAGATGCTCATTGGTTTCATCTTCCTGTTGACATAGAAAGCATGTAGAGCTGGTCTGAATACCTCTTCTTTGGAGAATTTCTAGAGTGAGGCAGGCTTTTCTTGCCACTAACCATGAAAAGCAAATAACTTTGAATGGTACTTTGATCTTCCAAATCTTTTTCCAAGACCAAGGATAGTTGGGGTGTCCTCTAGATGATAGACAGTTGTATGCTGCCTTGACTGTAAATTTAGAGCCATCTTTGATAATTGATACACGGCTCCTCTAATATACTTTTGAACAATTTCTTGTTAGGAAGAAAACAGTTATAACCTATTGCTCCTTACTTCTTATTCTATCACTCTGCAGGGGATCATGAGGAATCTCTATACGGCATCCTATGATAATACACTGCTCACAGAACCAGAGGTAATTGGTTTATTGGTTTCTGAATAGTGGTCCTATGTTGCTGTAAAAATTGAATTTTTTTAAAGCTATTTTGCATGGCCTACTTCTTAATCCATGTAGGATGAAGATCATAGCAACTCTGACTATGGAGCTCCTCCCCGTTATCTCTCTTGTCAAGTTTCTTCCTCGGCCAGTGATTCCTCCGATTTGGCAGCTCAACAATGACTTTGCTGCCTTAGAAAGAGAGTCATAGTACATCAATATGTCATCTGATCATCCGACTGAAGGATTTCATGTACTTATTACAGGTACATTTCATCACCATAACTTTTTGAACAGCTTGACGATACTGTTGAGAATTTTCACTAATTTTCGCCTTTCTTTTGAAGTTTATATTGACAGATTAACAACTTAGCGAGAATTTACTGGTGAAAGCAAAGGATTTGTCTTGCCCTTGTAAATATACCAGTGTAGATTAGCTCTTGTTACTTATGCAGCATCTAGATTGAACTTCTCAGTAACATTAACAAAAGTCTTTTAACCTTTAGTATATCTAACTTTCCCTCTTTGGGTAATCAGAGTTGTATTAGTTACAAACTAGAGATGAATGATCGCATTATCCACATTCTTCTCGTATACACAATGTATATTTTATTTTCGTATCCTTGACTCGCCCTGCTTCTGCCAAGGAGTGAGTAGAGAAAAAGAATACTCTATTTTAAAAATTTACCCTTTGATTGTACTGTATATTATTTGCTGTTATTGTTATTGGTGTATAACAAGAGGAATTTAACCTACAGAAAACTGTCTACAAGATATTCCAAAGTGTGTAAGTGGTTTGGATAGGGTTGTCATAGTAAATTCTGTTAGGCAGTTCCTTCTCTCTTCGAGTGCATTTGCTAGCTTTTCATCTTTTGGAATACTTGTTCCGTCCCATTTTATACGATGTCGTTTGATTGGGCATATAGTTTAAAAAGGAAAGAAAGATTTTTGAAATTTATGATCTAAAACTAGTTATAAACACACTAGGTGGGGGCGGCCATGCCAGCACCGGCACAACATTATTTAATATTGTATGATTTTTAATTGCAGATCTAATAGAAATTGATGGTAAGTGTGGAATCAAATAGACAATATTGCATGTTAACACTCTGTTTGGATCATTGTTCCCTATCGTTTTATAATGTATTGTATTGTATTGTATCGTATTGTACTGTATCGTTTTATGAATACAATGTTTGGATAGATTGTATTGTTTGTTATTGTTAAATAATATTTTGTTGTTTGGTTTGACTGTATCGTACTGTACTGTAACTGATAAGTTTACTAAAATACCCTTCATTGTTTAAATATTAAATTTATCAAAATTATGTATAAAAATAATTTTAAAAAACAAAACAAAAGAAGGCAAAATACAATAAGGAAGCAGAACAAAGGAGCGAGACAGAAAAAGACAAAACAAAGGAGCACAACTAATTAGAATTGAGTTACAAGCAAATTAGGAGAAAAAAATAAAACAGGAGGCAACAAAACACCTTTTAACATTGGTCTGGAAAAAAACAAAGTAGGTTATAAGTTGGAGATTTGGAGCTAAAATATAAAAAAGATAAAGGGTAAAATAGAATTATGGAGTAATAAGTTAGGGTATAATTGGAAAGAAAAATAGGAAACAATCCCACCACACCAAATCGGTTGTTTCAAAAAAGGGGACTTTTCATTGTTCCGGAACAATGGATTTAACAATACAATACAACCAATTTTAATGAAACAATCAAAACAAACATTGTTTTGGGATAATAATACAATACAATACAACGAGGAACAACCATCCAAACAAGCTGTAATTGATATATACCTATTTACATACATTTTGATCAAATAATATATTATTTACATCCATGAGAGCATCATATTAAGGGATGCTCATGTATGGAATCACTATTTACATATGAGACTTTTTCATTCCTATACCATATATGAAACCTTATTACCAAAAATGTGCATAGTTTCATATTTACCCGCCATGTTCACAGTTTTTCTACAATTATTATACCATTCATTAAATACTAATTATTAGGAACTGATTCCTTCCTAATTCCTTAACAGTTTTTGCTTTTGACTGGTAAAGATTCCGTGCACCATCGAATTGCCGTAGACGCCCTTCATCCCTGTTTTATTTTTTTCTTTATTGACTTTATGAAGCTGAACATTAAAGGAAAGGAAAAGATACCGAACAATTACTTTATATTGACTTTATGAAACTGAACATTACAATCAACATCTCAGAACAATTAACTTTATTTATATCTTTATCATTTGTAAAAGTAATTTAGAAAATCTACGAAATCATTAGTAATTTGCCAGATCATTAATACAGAAAATTATCCAAATATCATATATATATCCGACTTCTCTCTACATCTCTCTCTATTTCTCAATCGCAAATTTCAGTAATACAAAGCAAATGAAAAGAGAGCATCAATTCCACCATTGACAACCATTAAAAGGCTTGAAAGCTTTGAATTCAAATTTGGGTTTTCAAAAATCATTATTTGTTTAGATTGGGTGTTGTTGAAAATAATCGGGAATATGGTTTGGAGTTTATATCTCAATTTTGAGGGGTTTTGGTGAAGATTAAACTTGGTTTTGACTGAATTTCAGATTGAAACTCGAAGAAGAAGACATATTGCAGAAGTTGTAGATAAATTGTAGATTATTTGTATTCTGATTGTAGATGCTTTATTTTTTGTTTTCACAAATAAAAAACGGCCAAAACTTCTACAAATCTTCTGAAAAAACGCAATTATGTCAAAAATCTCAATTATGCTACAATTGAATGGGAATTGGGATATAAAAATTAAATGTACCAGTTTGTAGATATTTTGTAGATAAATTGTAGATTATTTGTATTCTAATTGTACATGCTTTGTTTTCTGTTTTCACAAATCAAAAACGACTAAAACTTCTACAAATCTTCTGCAAAAAACGCAATTATGTCGAAAATCCCAATTAAACTACAATCAAATGAGAATTGGGATATTAAAATTCAATATACCCATTTTGTAGATGAATTGTAGATTATTTGTATTCTGATTGTAGAGGCATTGTTTTCAATTGTAGATGCATTTTTACGTTCCTATGCCACATAGGAATTTTTACATTCTTCAATAGTTGTCAAGAAGATGTAGTTGATACACTAATGTTCTGGTTCTTTTACTTTATGGCTTTGGACTAAAAGATAAACTGATAATTAATAATCCATAGTGGAAATATTAATATGTAATTAAATAAAGAAACAAACAAATATTTGTTTATCAAACTTAAATTTAGATTTTACAAAATTAATACTCTCCATCACATGGTTGTACGTAGCCCAATGGTACAACTAGAATATAAAAATGATTGTGATATCTGCTCTTCAATTTTCTACAAAATTTGAATTCTCGATCCATGAAAAGGTGTACGTATTATATTACTCAGCATTCCTTCGTCATTGTCATTTAAAAAAATTTATGAGTTTGACTCAATTAGGTGACATATTTTAATATGTTAACAAAAACTGCTCAAGGTAAGGATGCTATAGCTTTTTAGGTTAAAATACACTATGGTATAGAATTGGTAATTTGGTATACTAAGTGTAATTAAGTCAAACCTTAAACATTGAGGGTAATAAGGTTTCCTATGTGGCATAGGAATGTAAAAATTCCTTTACATATTAGCTGAAGGTGGGGCGTTGTGTATGCGGTATTTGGTCTTCTTTCTGCTCTTCTTTTTAGTAGTTCTTGACCAAAAAAATCTGTAAATAAATAAATAAATATATTATATTTCATAGTCAAATTAGAAGCTAACATATCTTCAAGGCAAATTTTGTGTTCACCTTTAATCTGGATATAAGAAAAGAACCTATAGCAACTAAGGGCAAATAACCCCCCCAAAAAAAAACACTTAGCCAAGAAGATTAATTTGGTGAGTTGGTAATTAAGCTAAGCATGTACAGGAAGACAAATGAAAGCAGAAAAACATGTGGAGTAATTAATTGGTTGCTTCATTAGCGTACAAAATATTAATGATTGTAACATCTTAACAAATGTTTTATTATATTAAGAAGGAAATTATCTGCAAAACCCCATACTATTGTTCACAAAGTTCTAAAGCAGTCGGATCAAAATCTAGGTTTCAGCTATCTACTTCTTTAGGTTGATTCTCTAATATGCTCTCTTAAAATTGATCATATCGTGGGATGAATCACACAATACATTACAGTCTCAAAATACTATCAAATAGGAAACCTGCAATTGTAAAGTATAACATTTTTCATGAAAAGTTCAAAAGAAAAAAGCAAGCAAACAGAGGATTAAAATGATGAGCAAGACATTTCAGCAAACAACTTTTGCTCAAAGGCAACATTAACATTGGCAGTTGCTTAAAGTGTAGTTGGAATCTTTAAAATGTTGAAATACTTGAAGTATAAGCTCAAACCGAACACTAAACTTACAAGTTCCTGGTAACTATGCATACAGAGAGTATAAGAGGCTTTCTAGAACAAAGTCATATGCTAATTATGTATTCATGAAGTAAATTTGTCCTAAAAGCTCACTCCGGCACGAATATGTGGCAGTTTTTCCCTGCCCCTAGTTACGACTACGTCTTTCTTGTTCATCTTCGTATATTAATTTTTTATATGATCCAACTAATCCCTAATAGTTAAAACATGATATCCTATAATCTATCTCAAGTATGTTTGTTGATACATTTTGTCAAAAGAGTACGTTTATAAAGCGATAGATTCAAGTATTATCGATTAAGGAGAATGAAAATTCCTGCCAACTATAGCAATAACTGCTGGAAATCCAGTAGCACTTGCAACTTGACTATGCATTAGCAGATTTACCTTGTGCGAAGGGAGAAATGACTATATCTTGTTATAGAAAATTATAAAGAGTGATGACGTCATAACCAACATAAAAGGTCATTTCCCTTGCCTTCAAATTTTAGGAATTAAAAGACCCACTAATATGCCAAAAACACAATAATAGGAGAATCCAGATAAAACTGTAAGCAAATATTACCACATATTACATTTGTTTTTTCTTTACAAATTGCAGCATGGTATCCTACGATATAAATTATGATAGGATAGGTATTTCAAGATAACACTGGACTAACATAAGAGGTTTTAAACTTTTGTTTCAGTGTGGTCAAAGTTCTTTTTATCGGGGGACATATCTAGTTTAAGAACAATGATAGTTTATGTATAACAAAATCAGGCTACATATGAACTTGATCAAGTTCTATATTTATTATATAAGGTACATAAGTACCTTAAAAATATTGTTTGTTAATTTTGGCAGCAAAGTGTGAACGCTGAAAGAATTATTGCAAAACTGATTTCATGTTAATAAGAATAATTTTGTTCATGAAACAACTCCAAATACCACCAAATTTATGATAGACTCATCCATCTAGCAGCAAATTCCCAGAACAGCAATAAAGTTTTCCTTAGAATAAAATAAATAATATATAAAAAATAGATATATGAGATTCCTGTTAAGGAAAGAAAGTAGGCCAGTGATCACGCCCAACTATGCCTTATAAAAAGGACAATGCGGTCGCTGCAAATATAATCCGGTTTACAA